GATGCTGAGATATGAGCAGAACTCTGAACCTCAGGTGTGCTTCGAAAATGCGATTACCCCTTCTGGGGGTTCGCGTGTTATCCACTCCACCAACCGAGAGCACTTGCTTTGCTTTTCTGTCAGCCAATTTTTTCTACTCTGACGTTGCTCTCACAGTTAATTGCTAATTGTTAGTCAAACCGGACAATGAAGTTTTTTGAAAAAAGGTGTTTTATAAATCATTAAGTGTAGATAATGGTTTTTCTGGTCTCACCCCTCCTAATTCGATCTCCTTCAGATTAGCTGTCGGATGGTAGTACTATGTGCGTAGTATCGACTTTCTGTTAACCTCGGCATTGGATATAAAAGCGTCGTTTTCTTTTCCAGCAATCGCGAGGTGGTTATACAGCATATGTTTATTTCCGTATAAAGTGTTTTTGTACGGAAGTAAACGTATGCTGTATAACTACCTCGCGATTGCTGAGAAAGAAAACTACGCACACTTAGTACGGTAAAAGAAAATTCTAGAATGCACTTAGCTGGAAACTGACACTAAAGTATCCATACCGTCCATTATGAGGTGATACAGCTTTTTATGGTGGTGGCTAATTTATCGTGGAGAAAGGGTATTTTGAATGGAATCCCATTAAGACTAAAAATGTTGTTTTGCGCTGGAGCTTTTCGGTTATACCTACCCCGAGTGTTTATTACTTCGTAGTCACTTTACATAGCTATTCGTCATCCGTACACTAGTGATCCCTTGCTCCTTTTGTTTCTCTGGACATACTTGTAGAGGTTCGGTACATTTTTCTGATGTGCTTCTTTATGAGAAATGATGTACTGTTATAGTTTAATCACCTTCTTTTCGATATCACCTTGTGATAAATCATCGTGTTTTCCAAAAATGAATCGAAAGGACGAATACTTCAGTATCATACGGTGACGTGTCTAAGATATTTTTTAATATCTGAGTTTCATTTCTCATCCTATGTAAGCTCATAAGGCTGGTCTCACTCTTTAGAAAAGGGAAACGGTGAGTGGTCTTTAGCAGACTGTTGTTTCTATATTGAGTTTTCATTAAGATTGTAGAATATCCACAGAATAAGACTGGCTTAAAATATGTCTGCGCTTTGCAGATCACGTGGTTGTTAGTTACCGTTAGCCAAAAATAAGTGCTAATAATCTTGTGTTAGCTCAACAAGGGCAGTTATTAAAAACAAAACATATCCTAGCTTATAGTGAACTGTATTTGTTTAGACAGAAATTGGTAGGGCCAACAGAACTTTGCAAGTAAGATATAATCTTCTTATTCTACTAAGTTAAAATTTTGCTTATTTTTTGAAGGCCTGCAAAAACGTGGTCCTTGTAGGGGCTCGTAATTTGAGCTTCAGAGCGGTTGAACAAAGGAAATTCTGTCCATTGGAGACGCTCGTGCTCCACAATAAATCGGTGTTTTAAAATCCACTCTAAAATTCTGTAAGTTCAGATTTGAAAAAAAAACTCAGAATTAAGAGAACACGTTGGAGAGGTTTTTAGGTGGTTCGAAAATTAAGGCAGGATGTCATTTCATATCTTTAAAGTGGCTCATCTTAGCTCATATTAATGCAAATAGAAAGCGGTAAGATTTGCTCATTTTCGCCAACGAGGAACAAGTTTCAAAGTATAACTTTTTATTAGCTGCCTGTTGTTTTCTTCATGGCAAGATATTATGTGAAATACGACTACGAAGATGATAAGGTATTTACAAACCCAGATACCAGACTAGATTTGAACCCACTCTTACCCTTTCCAGGGGCTCACATGTTACCCACTACACCACTGAGGCCCTCGTTCTGCTTTTCTTTCAGCTAGAAGAACTAGTTTGTTTATTCTCGTTCTCTAAAACTTTGGAGTTCTGGATTCGGTAAAATCGTTGAAGGCAGTTTCGGCCTTGGCTTGGTTTCTATGTTTCTCCTATAGGAAGTTATTTAGGTCCTTGAAGAAATAGTATTCGGTAGACAAGAGGTCTGGATAGTATGGCGAATGAGGCGGTTTCGTGGCACAGCTTGTTCAACATCAACAGCATCTGTGGTGCGACGTGTTGCTGCGTGTTATCATGGGGAAGAATTTTTCTTATTGACGAACATATGGCACGCTCATTAAACATTCTGGTTCATTTCATCGATTTACTGCACATGTTTCTCCGCCATAATCGTTTTACTAGGATTCAGGAAACTATGATAGATCAAACCAACAGAGATCCACCAAACAGCAGATTTGGTCTTTTTATGCAATTTCGGTTCTGAGGAGCGCTGCGGAGCTTCGTCGCCGTCGAACCTCTGAATTGGTCGTCGCCGGTTGTCATAGAGGATCCAATTTTCGTCGCACATCATAATACGTTCGGGAAACGGTTCCTTCTGGTTGCGCAGAAGAGGTACCAACGATACCTCAATGTGACGATTTCTTTCATTTTCATTGAATTCGTGTGGCATACATTTGCCGCAGTTCTTCGACCTTGTAATGGTCTTTAGATGCCACAAAGCACTTGAAATGCATATTTGAGTTCTTTCTCAAGTTTTTGCACAGTTGTTCGTGTATTCCCTTACTAGGAAGCTTTAAGTTCATCGTGGTCAGTAACAGAAGTCCGCGACTTTCTCATCGTCAAGGTCGAATTTGCTGCAATGAAATTTTCCAAACCAACGCTGCAATGTGTGTTCACTAGTTCTTAATAGCGCCATTAGGGTTAAAAAAAAAAACAAAAAAAACAATGGCTGAGAGTTGGGCAGATGCCAGCATTTCTTTCATTCGATTTCTTTCGTTTACGAATGATTTCGAATTTTACTTTCGGGTTCAGCTGCTGCCTTGTAACAATCCGGGTGCCACTTTCCTGAACCGGGAGTGGTGAGGTTTAGCGAGGCCGACACGAGGTCGAATCAGCATCGTGCTCGTGGTGAACTGTATCGCTACCACTGCGCTACTCCTTCGTTTAACTTCATTTTATAATTCGATGGTGCGAAAGTTCACAAGTGAACATTGCAATGATATACGATAGCATACCACTTGAAAAAAGTATGGGAAAAACTTACAGCAAAAATAAAGTTACAGATCCCACATTTTTTTTGACCCGTCTCCAACTCTACTATGCAGATTCTAGCACTTCTCACACTTGATTCGTTTCCTTGCATCCATTGTCCACAAAGATCTTCCAACTTTACATTAGCTTCTGTTGCTGCTTGAGGATTTTTTATTTCATCTTGAATGTCGTAGAATGCTGGTCGAAAAATTCTCCCTAAAGTCGTAAAATAGCCTAGCTGCAGTGTTCCCAATTGGATTGCAGAGAGTGATTATTTCCTAGATAAGTCCGGTACCAATTTCCCGACCGGCTTGGTTGGCCCGGAGCGGAATCGAACTAGCACCGTGCTCGTGATAATGGGCATCACTATCACTATGCTATCCGCCCCCCTTCCATCGCATGTTAATTTTCGGAAAAGCTACTACACATACATTCAGGACGATAGAGAAATCTTCGTTCTACATCTGTCAAATGCTAATCTCCTCAATTAGTCTAGGTTCCGAAAAACCATAAGTTGTCAAAACGGTGCACATAGCATAGTGTTATTGATGCCGTTCACTACGATCAGTGCGCTGGTTCAATCTCTCACTCCCTCAGGCCTCCCAAGCGTTCCATTCCTTTGGGTTCGCGAAGTTGGTACTAGACTTGTTTAGGATCGTCTCAATTCCACCAATCCACATGAAAACACCACAGCGCGTATATGTGTCAGAATTTCATCGAAAATTCACTCCATATGCATTCAGCGACGGTAATAGAGAAGGCGAAAATCCTCAAGCGAGGATCAAACGACCCCCCCCCCCCCCTCCTCGTGTACGACGAATTAATGGAAAAGTGTCGAATGAAAGAAATTATAGGACCCGTACATCATGTGATTTAAGGTCGTGTAGGAAATGTCGGACAACCACTATTGTCTACCATATATCAGGAATATAAAAGTAAATTTTGAGAAATAATAGATTGTTATTTTATTCCCATTCGCTGAGATGAATCATGAATATTAGTGGGCGGATATAAAAATGCCGACATATAAAAATCCAAGTTCAACAAAAGGGAGGTTCGTTTGCTAAGGTTGCAATCAGACCGGCATGAATTGATATGAACTCGCAGAAATGCAGTGGAAAACGAGGCGTGGCTTAGGTGGAACACTTACACGGATTAGGCGTCGGACTGAGTCTTAGTTTTTAATGGCCAATTTTCTCTCACCATTCTGAGTCGTGTAAGTATTATGTCTTCACAAAGGAACTTAAAAGAGGTCGTACAATGGTAATTGTTTCACGTTTGACAATATATATTTTACGCAGAACCATCTACGATGAGTATTGTTAGATGAGGGAATTTTGCATGTTTCGTTCATTAAGGTGCCAGTAATGTTGGTAAGCGGTATGAAAACCTGTTCAATTTTTCATTTACACTTAATTTAAGCTAGTGGCTAGACCGATTGAAATAAGCTATTTTAAGTGTATGTGTGTTGATAAACGGAAGAATAACTCTGTGGTAAATTACGCGCTTTTAGTGCCAGCATCCGGTCGGACGTCGCTGAAGCACGACCGAGTGCTTATCTAAGACAGTGTAGCGGGAAGTGCTCACCGAGCACTTGTCATACTTGAACGAGACGCTCCGTGGCATATTGACTTGTCAGAGGTTTTGCATTTGGTCGGCCGTCATCTCGAAGAACGCATTACACTACGTTCGTTTTCATCGTTTCTTACCTCCACCGAAGAGATTCCTCGCATGATAGATAGCGTTAACGCCTTCCATTGTCTTATGCTGAATACCATTTTATGAAATGAGATAGTCAGCTTTATTAGCTTATAACTTTTTATGTGTTATGGATTATGCAGGGGTGGTCTACTAAAGGTGCACTGCGTTTTCTTCTTTTTCAAAGGCCTTTACAATTATGCTGTTATTTATAAATTATCTGTTCAGAGTCGTCAGTTCGTATAACTCTTGACTTGTTTATAGGTCAGAGATGCGATCAGTTTTACTTGCCGTTGGCGCAGTGTATTTCTTACTTGTTGCTAATTTTTATAATGAATCACATGGCTTTACGGAATTCTATAACGCTATGTATGCTGTATGGTGAGTTATAAGTGCATCCCTTTAGTCGTTTAATACGCTTGCTTAATACCTGTTTTCAGGAAAGTTGTTCCTATCGTGTTTCTTACCATCTTCGCTGCCTTAGATGGAGGAGGTCTACCGACCACTGAGCGAACATTGTGTGCTCTCGGTCTTTTCTTTGGTGGTGTCGGTGACGTTCTGATCGGACTCAGCCATGAAGGCATCGTCACTGGGGCCATAGCATTTGGAATCGGGCATTTTTTCTATATGGTCTGCTACTGCGGTGTTATTCTGTAATCTTAGGCAAATTATTTTACCAGATATTATTCTTTCGCGAATCTTGTTTGCTTCACTTTGTTTGTCTAGATAAGATAATCACTTGTGCTAGACAACATAGTGAAACAACGGTAATTGTTCACTTGCCAACATATCCAAGTCGAAAATATTTCTGAGTATACAGAGATCGCTATTTCAATTTCTTGTAATAATTAGTTATATATATCCACTCCGTTAGTAAAAACTCCCGTAATTTTCACACACACACACACGCGGGTTCGATCCCCGCGCCGAAGGCTCACCAAGCTCTTTATCACTCAAGGGTCGGCGAATTGGTACCAGATTTGTCTGGGAGGACAGCAGCAGTGGCTCGATACATCGGTGGGCTACTGGGAGTCATTGCAAAGGCCAGATATGCATTCAATCACCTCCAACGAGTACTTAATGAAGTCCAATGCATGACGTATCCTTCAGGGATCGATCAACGCCGCGAGCTTTATCTTTTTTTTAGCAGATATGTAAGAGGCAACTAATTACGAAAGAAATACTTGGATAATATACCATGTTCTTTTGAAGGAAGGTTTCAATTTTTACAACAGTTCTCGGGATCGACTTTTCATTAACGTCGACATTGGATTATAAATGCGTCGTTTTCTCGTTCAGCAATCGTGGAGTTGTTATACAGCATACATTTACTTCCGTATAAAAACACAGTACTACAGCAACACTGACGTTTCGGCGGTATCGCATTCTTCAGAGCCTTTTTTTAACGTGACTTCCATTGAGGAAGATTAGAACGCTGGTTATATTCACAAATGGTTAAAAAAAATAGATAGATAAACGATGACTCTAGTGAAGGCGATACTGCCGAAGCGTCAACTACTGTTTTATCCCGTGTTTTTCCATGGAAGTAAATGTATGCAGTATAACAACCTCGCGATTGCTGAGCAAAAAACAATTTCTATTTTTTTTAGTGGGCCAGGTTAACCTATTCATATTCCAGCAACTTTTCAGGGTCACTTTTTTTCGCGCCCGACAACATGGTGCTGGCCACTATTGGTCATTACTTTCCTCTGGGGAATCGTTATTGGAGAGTTTTGCGTGTTTCCGATGTTCGACGAGCATCCGTTTGCGGTCACCGTAATGGTTCTTTACTCATTGATACTCTCTTCTTGTCTTGTCCTCACTGGATCTCAGTACTATAACCGACAGAAGGTCGATGATAAAGAGGTACGAAGAATGGCTTCATTTCTTTGATTGAACCTTAGAATCTAGCTGTTAGTGTTTGAGGAAGTATGTTTAAATCAATGGAGTTCATGCCATTTAGACTAAGGTGAACATCGCATGGTTTCAGGGTCTACTCCTGCGATACATTGGCTTCCTTATGTTTTATATATCTGATTCTGTTTTGATTATGAATCACACCGGACACAAAATCCCATTTCCCCAACTGATTATTCTAGGAACTTACTATACTGCGCAGTATCTCATTTTGTGTGGTAATATTCACACTGCTCTTCATGTTAAAGTCATTCGCAACTAGTCTTGTATAGATGTTTATGACGGGGTTTCTCATCTATCCTTGCGCTTCTTCGAGAGTACTACTCAGTGGTTTCCACATGATCCTCTTGTGTTCTTTAAATATATATCTGTCCTCCTGTCTTAGTTATGTATTTTGAACTTTCTCGTCTATGTAATGACTTCATTAATGATTTGGTTCGGTATCAGTGTAAATATCGAATGAACTCTACGACGTTGAAACACTGTATGTAGACATCAAGCGGTTCGGCGACTGCGGTTTCCTTTGCGATATACTTATATTTACAACTGCAGATCTTCTACCAGTCGTATTGTTTTTAGAGGTAGCTGTTTGGTTAGAAATGTATATGACTTCCATGATATGAGAACTATTCAATCCATTGGCCACTACTTCAGTCGTATATGCCTTGTATATGCAAAGGCTCAGCGGGGTTTATCAGTCATAGATAACTCATTTCCAGTCGTGTTTTTTGCTTCGCAAAGATTTGGTGGACATTTATATGAAGAGTTTACGACACATTTTTTTCTGAATATTGTGTTCCGCGACGATTTCCATGCTTGCTGTACAGGTGAAGTACCACAGAGACCTGCCTATGCTGGCGAAAGAACTCAAGAGGTTTTACTAATTTAAATACTTGAATCTTGCGACGATTTCTTGCTTATTTTATAGATGGAATAAGGCAAGAGATTTATTAGTAGGAATGGTACTCGATGTCTTCTGTAGCCCTTTACCCGACGCGAAACAAATAAGTAAACGTCGTCGTGGCTGTTTTACTAGATACTTGATACTTGAACGGCCCCCAGCATAACCACCATTTTTTCGGAGATTTGCTGGTTAAGCCATTGTGGTTCCCTGGAATCCTAAGGATAGCCTGGCGGAAGTCTCCCCAGGTCGTCACCATGACAGGCGGTTGCAGCCCTTGTGGATCAGAGAAGGATCTGCCACCATGCGACCTTGATACCAGGACGGTGGTGGATGCTGGTGTTGGTTTACTCTTAGCTAGGCTTGCTGATGGAAACGCTGGACTCCTTCTCAGCTTGTGAGACCCTGCCAGGGGGACGAATCCCCACGCTGTACATCGCAGTCCTACACTCTGGAACACCTCCCAGTTTCGATGAGGCGGTAAACCGTTGGGAAGTGGCTGTTTTACTATGAACAATATTTGGTTAGACCAACGTCTTGAACTGGGAAAGCATTAGTTCGGCTATCTCCAAGGTTATAAAGAGAGTCGACTGAACGGACATTCTGTGACATTCATAAAGAAGAATTTCTGAAGCCAGCGGAAACAATGCGAAATGTTCGACGAACTTTGTGGATTATGAGTCGTCCAAAGTTATCCACGATTTAAACATGACGACGCTGATTTTTTCGACGATGAACGATATGTGGAAGAAACTTAACTTTATTCATTCAAAGATATGCTATTACTAATAGTATTGCTATCATACTATATAGAGGCGGATAGCACAGTGGTAATTATGCCGATCATCACGACCACGGTGCTGGTTCGATCTCGCTCCAGGCTTACCGATTATTTCATCTCTCCGACATCGGGAAATTGGTACCGGACTTATCTGGGAAAGTTCACTTTCTGCAGTTCACGTAGGAACGCCCTAGCTCGGTTATCCAAGGACTCCAAGCACAGTCGACTCGACCAACATTCAACGACATTCATGATGGAAAGGAAATCGAGTGATTTTTCAGTTTATATTGAATGTATTGCGGAATTTTTTATATCCACCTATCTCATACGATAGCCACGACGCATAGTAGCAATTGAAAGTGAAGAAAGTTGGAAAACCTTCGAAGATGATGGTTGCGAGGAAACGAATCGAATGCGAGAAGTGCTAGCATCCGCGCAGTAGGTATGAAAGACGGGCTGTGTGAAATAAAATGAGTCGTAAAAAAAGTAAACATTAACAGGACGAATAAAAAAGATTGAGAAAACGTTAAAAAAGACAGTGAGTTTGTTCGTTATTTATTACATGGTCCGACATCACATCTACCACACGGTGTGGATCCCAGCGATCCCTATATTCGATTCGTTTCCTCGCATAACCATCCAGGATGGGCTCTAAGCTTTTTTGGCATGCGGCATCGACTGCTGCTTGAGGACATTTTTGTCCAAGTAACGACAGTGGTAGAATGCTGGTTGAGTCGATGTTCCTTGAAATCCAGGTATGTCCGTGCTGGAGTGCTCCCGTTTGTATTGGAGGGATTTGGCTTCTCTCAAACCAGTCTGATGCCAATTTCTCGACCCCAAAGGAATGAGGGGATTGGTTGACACGGGGTGGCAGTGAACTAATGGTTGTTGGCTAAGTTACGCCATTCGAGTAATAAACGGGATCACTACCACTGCGTTACCCACTCCCTGACAGTGAGTTGTTGGGTCCCGGTCAAAATTGGCCATTCAGTACTCTAAATAAGGGACATTGCTGGTTTGCCAACTACTGTCGTCAATGTTCTAACCTTATATTTACTGCTTAATCGTTTTTCATGGGAGGGTACTAGCACAACGATGCTGAGATATGTGCAAAACAGAGTCTCGTACTTCGAACGCGCGATTACACTTACCGAGATGCACGTGCTTTACTCCACACCAATTGAGGCGCTGCTTGCCTTGCATCTCGGCCAGTTCTTCACTTCATCGGTGCTATCAGCTATCACTCATCAACAGGAATGACACGGAAAAGTGGCTGAGAAAGCAGGGCAAACGCCTTGGTTGATGTCTTGGAGAGCAGTTGATCACGCGTTAAGGGTAATCGCAGGTTCGAAGCCTAGTTGAGGTTCCCAGTTCTGCTCATACCTCACTATCCTCGTGGTTATACTCCCGATAATTTTCGTTACTTACAGAACTTACAAAGTTGATGATTAGAGAAAGTTGTGGAAGAGACTTCGTTATATCACTTCGAAGAGAATGAGTAACTTTTCTGTGCTCTAATTTTCACTTAGAGTTTGTTTAGAGTTCAACCTTTCATAAAATCCATTTCTTCAGGTGGAATGTGTAACATGCGGGCCATCGATATGGGTAATCGTGGTTCGATCTAGCCTGCGGTTCAAGTTGTGCAAATATCTCGGCATCATTGTGGTTGGATTCCACCTAATACCCTGCCTTGAAAAACTGTAGTAGGCAGCGAATAAAAAGTTAACATTGAAAAGGCACCTCTACACCGATGTTTGCTTCACGAGCCTTCTTCTGGCTAATTTATTGACGAATACCCATCCTATTGACAGATCTAGGGAAAACAGGAGAGGGTTTCCCAGACGAGTCATGTTATTATTTAAAATTTTCAGTTGTGCTAAATCGAAGTGCACATCAGCGGTGGCCCGTTCTCACTGGCTGCGGGGGCCTCAGCATAATTTCCACTGTGTCGTAGTTTTGGTGCTTTAGCCATTGTGGTTCTTTGGAGTCTTGAGGTCAGCCCTTCCAGAGTTTGCTCCAGATCGTCGCAACCACACGAAGTCGCCACCCTTGTGGATTGGAGGAAGATTTGCCACCATTCGACTAGTTTCATGTCAGGACGGTGGTGGATTATGGTATTGGTTTACTCTTAACTGGGCTTCCTGACGGAAGCGCCGGACTCCTCAGATTTGGAGATCTTGCTGAGGAGCCTCTGTTGTCGTATAGGATCTACCTTACAATGAAGAAGTGAGGCGTTTTTCTGTGTTCAGTAAGCGCAGATTCGATTTCGTAACGACGATATCAGTGCCATTCATCCATTTCATGTGGCACGGATTTATCGGGATTTATCACTTCAAGTTGTTTTTCCGTTGTGTATCGTGAATGTTAAGTCCTCAAAGAGCTCTTAAGTAGTTCTCGGTAAAGGCACCTTCTATTCCCGATTAGCAGATCGTTATCTACTGCTGATATGCGCCCATCCATCATGAAAACTGACATACTCATTCCGAAACCTTCAGAACCATCTCTGGTTTGCACGTTAGGAAAACCTTTCGTGGTCCATGCTCTGGTGATGTTACAAGCTATTGTTGTTACCTCCAAGTTTAAGCTCATGAAGCCAAAAATACGAAAGCTAGGAAAAGTTTGAGCAAGAAATGCGTACTACATAGTGTATTTGTAGCTTCCGTAATAATGAATTCCTCTATTGTTTTTTGCACAAAACCTGTTAGATATCTACTTCGAAGAAATAAGCTTACCGAGTTTTTTCAGGACAGGAATGAATGCCTCCAGTCCGGCTCGACTGCTTGCCATCTATGGTGGTACTACCTTTCTTGTCTACATTGAAACAAATGGTTTTATCAAGGTACCATAATTGTAACTTACACTAGCTTCGGTTGGTATGATGGATATCAGGTGAGTCCACGGTAAGCGTAATCGCGGGCTCGAGTGACAAGTGAGGTTTCGAGTTCTGCTCATATATCAGCATCCTTTGTGGGTAAATAGATACTATTGTTGTAGACTAACACACGAAGTCACAATGTTAACCTTTTTTTTGCTGCCTACTATAATTTTTCACGGCAGGGTATGATGTGAAATACAACCAAAACGATGCTGAGATATTCGCAGAACTTGGACCCAAGGCCAGAACAAACCACGATTACTCTTTCCGGGTGCTCGCTTATTACACACTGCACAACTGAGACCCTTACCTTGCCTTTCTCTCTTTTCTTTCTCTTTTCTTTCTGCCTTTTTTCTAACGCAGCCATCAGCAATCACCCGTCAGCGGGGTTGATCTGGGGAGCACAAATCGCTGTGGTTGCGTAACACATGAGATCCTTACTCTTTCGTTTTGTAGATATTGTAAACAAACGCGTTTACATTTTGCTTACACACTGAACGTTGATGGTAGCCAAATTCAGAGTTCACCTGCATTTCTGCTGAGCCTACCAGTTCTTGGTCTTTCATTACTCACGCTCACAACTAATATGGGTGCAGAAGAACGGTTTAAAACGTCAGCATCATTCGCAATTTTGGGTTAGTTCTTTTAAATCTACCGAATGGAGCATGTAAGGAGTAAAGCGGTCGGCGTTGATCGGTTTTTAGAGGATCCACTATGCATTTGACTTCATCAAACTTTCTGGAAGTGATTGAATGCATATCTGGCCTACACAATGACTCGGTGTGGCCTACCGATTTATGGAGTCAGTGCTGTTTCCTCCCAGACAGGTTTAGCAAGAATTTGTCGACCCCGGATCTGGAGAGATGGGGTCCGAAACGCGGGGTCGAACAACTGACCGATCCGGTGTGTGTATTTCAGGACATCTGAAACTACGATATATATATAATATATATATATATATATATATATATATGTCATACATGTCCCAATACTTTCTTCTTTACCATGGGTAGGTGGCGTTCCTTGGATGGTCCAGCTGCAAAGCACCTTGAGGGTTCATTCTCAAGCAGCATCAGGAAATCTAAAGAGTTCTAAATTTCCATCGGTGACGGTAGCTATGAGTAACCTCGTGCCAAAGAGCTCCGCAGAGTTCCTACCGTATCTTCACCATAAAACCAAAGACGCTCCCAGCATTGATTAATCACTAAGGGATGCGCCATGCATTCGACTTCATTAAGCACCATTGGAAGTGATTGAATGCATATCTAGCTTTTACAATAACTCGCAGTGGCCTTTCGGTGTACGGAGTCAGTGCTGCTATCTTTCCAGACAAGTCTGGTGCCAATTTGCCGATCGCGGAGGGATAGAGGGCTTGGTGAGCTTAGGACGCGGGAATTGACATCATGCGCATTGCAGGGTCCCTTCAACCTCTACGCTACACACCACATTTCCTATAGTCCTATTCCCTATTCCTTACCATAAGAAGTAAAAAACGTGCACCAAACAAAAAGTATGGTGCTATCGATGCTTCTTGGGCCACTCTATGGTGCATCCGGAATAAATGGAGTTACTGCCCAGGTACCTCAAAATTATCATGACCACATTTATTTATATGTTCTTATAAACTGATTTTCTTTAGCTAATGCGAGGTTGGTATAGGTCTTTGTTGTTTTTGTCGTTGTTGTTGGTTTACGTCGATGGCTGACGTTCTGGCGATTTCGCCTTCCTCAGAGCCGTGATGTTGCGAATGGGGCCGAAACGTCAGCTATCGAACAACAACGCCAACAACAACGACAGTGACAACGAAAACCTATACCAACCTCGCATCAGCTAAAGAAAATCAGTTTATAAGATCATATAAATAAATATATCAACTGTCTATGCCGAATTTTATAGAAAGTCGGTCTTTTGAGTTATCATGCCCACAAGTGGTACATGATGTTTTACAGCTTTATCACGCTATTTGATGGTACAGTCGTCCTGGACACAAATGTTCATCGGTTACTTGATGGTGTCCCTCGCAAACATCCTCTACTGCCATTCGTTCAGGTACTCAGTAACACATTTCCTTGAAAAAACCAATCTGTTGTTTGTAGTCGAAGTGGAAACTGTCTTTTCGGGCTTCTGTTTTCCAAAAACCTTTTCTAGCTGTCAAATACGTTTGTGGTCAAGGGAGTTGATGGTGGTTGCAGCTGGATATCTTTTGTTGCTTTTCTACTATTGTTTTGCTGATTTGTTGATGTCAATACCGTCGTTGGTTCTACTTTTGATGACTGTATTAGCAACGTCTTGTGTTAACATCGTGGGTGCGGGCTCAGTTTGTCAGTACGGGCATGTCAGTGACTACGACGCCGGTCAGGTATGTTAAGTGTCTAATTCGCAAATATTTTAAAAAAAAGTACTGATATATTGTGAAATCCAGGCGTCCTACATTCGCCTCGTCGGTACGTTGGCGCAAACAGCTGGCAGTTCGTTATTCGTGTTGAATTTGTTCGGTGAAAGAACCGAAACCGTCCAAGTGGCATCAAGGATTCTGTTCTACGCTGCACAAGGTCTTCTTTTCCTCGCTAACGAAAGGACTTTTTAAGTTGGCTCTGAGCTTATGTATCTCTACTTCACATTTATTTAAATATGTGTTTACTTCCTAGTACATAGTGTTTTACATAGCCATTTTGTACCAGCTTCATTAATTCTGGCATTTTAATACGTCTCGAAAGAAAAGAGCGAATCTGGTTAGCAACGTCCCAACCACTTCACATTTGTCGTAGATCTCATCCATAGTACCGTTTAGCCGTGTTACAAGTTCGTACATTTGAGGTAATAAAGATTGTTTCTGGGTTGATAATAAAGTCCTTGCTCAACTTTATAATGTTAAATTACAAAGTGTGGAATATAGCTGAGGTTTTACAAATAATTACCTGGATAATTGGACGGCCCTTCCTAGCTGGTTGTGCGGACCCCAGCGTAATTTCCATTTTTCGGAGTTTTGCTGATTTAGCCATTGTGGTTCCCTGGAGTTCCGAGGTGAGCCTGGCCAATGTCTACCCTATATCGTCACTACCAAAGACAGTCGCTGGCCTTCTGTATCTGAGGGCCACTTGCTACCATACGACTAGTTTGTTACCAGGACGGTGATGGATCTGGTATCGGTTTACTCTAAGCCGGGCTTCCTGACAAAAACACCGGACTCCTTAGCTTAGGAGGCCATGCTGGTGGGATGGATAGATCTCCTCGCTGTACATCGCAGTTTAACATCTAGAAACACCTTCTAGCCACAATGAGGCGGGAAAATGTTGGCTGGATTTTGTAAACACGTCACCAAGACAAGGCAGAAAAACTATCAATTGGCAACATAATCGTAAGTTCATCAATTAATATGGCAGAGAGAATGCTCGTTATCACTGCGAGGATAAGAGCTCATCATGCTGGAACCACAAACACCGTGTGGATCAGTTTACTCACACCTCTGGTTAGCGGCCGACTCTCGACTGATCCCCTCATCATGAATGACCAGGCAACAGATCGTATGCTTGCCATTTATGGCGGTACCACGTTTCTTGTGTATGTGGAGACTAACGGCTTCAGGAAAGTGAGAGAATTACGTATTACAATTCTTCAGACTGGCCTACATCTACATAGTATTTGTGCACTGCCAAAAAAGGCGCGTGTAGCGCAGTGGTTGGAGGCGCCCTACAATATACCTGGGATCGATCACAGCGCCCCAGGCCCACCAAGCCCTCCATCCCTCTGGGGTCAGCAAACAAACAATTTATGAAGCAGTAACTGCTACGAGAACTTTTACGTCGTAGTCCGATAGCCACTCATCTATTCGGTTTCTATCGTGATGGGTTGTAATGGTTTTATCGAACGGTATATAAAACATGAGCGTAGGTAGGACAGGTCTTGATGGAAGCCACGAGAGGCCTGTCTTGCCTCGTCTCTGACGATGAGCTATGAGTGCAGTTTCAGATAACATCGCCAGTGATGTACTGCCTGCCGCTTCTTGCTCTATCTTTTCTTACACTTACATCTTCAATGCAGCCACGAGCCAGGTTCTCTACTGCTGCCTCATTTGCTATAATCGGTAGGTTTCAGTCACCTTAATTCGGCAGGTTTTGCCATATCTCAAATTTCAGCACTTTCTCGATACATGCTCCTCTCAAAGTTCTCATGGAAACTGGTGATGGTTGGCTACATATTGGTCACCATTGGAAACTTGCTGTATGTGTATTCGATCCTGTGGGTAGTTGTTATACAAACGTATTATCCATATAACCCTCCACTTTTCAAACAAATAAGAGATCAATGCTCCGCTGCGAGACAAGGGAACGAAGGACCCGCATGGTGTAGTGGTGAACGCGTTCGCTCCCAAAAAGTGTAAAAGCGTGTTCGATCTCCACCGCAGACACCAGTGATCCGAAGTTTTGCAAATATCTCAGCATCGTTGTGGAAATAATGGACCAACTTAAATTATGGATTCATTTGCGATTACTATTATCTCCTATGATAAACTATGAACAGCTATCAACTAATCAACAACAGCATCTACTATGAATAGTTTTGGACCAAAATAGACGAACTTTTCCCCATTTACTGAGCGGATGAGAATTTATGAAATCGGCAGTCACTATAAAACCATTTGTCACTTTTCATTTATAAACTAGGACTTCTACACGTGTACCACTTTCATTTACTCTCGTCCATTACTTCACTGCTTGTTGACAGTGAGGCAAGACCATCTCAGCTCATCCGTTTCAGGCCTATAATAGAGGAGTGGTCGATCGCACTGTCTATGTTCGGCATGATGTTCTTCTGTACACTCTCGTACCACTGCTTTGCCGATCTGTTCGTCTCCATTCCATTCCTCGTCATTGTACACACCTGGGCCTTCGCCACATCGTGCCTTCTAGTAGTCGCAGCCGGTTCTGTGTGTATGAACACCTTGGAACCCGATCATGAAATACACCAGGTAACTTCGTGAAGTCACGTGCTGCACTCTCTTGCTAAAGTCAGTAGGTGTTCAACAGAAGACAATGTTAATTAACAGTGGCAATACCAACTATAGCTAACTCTCATTCCTAAAATGCTTACCCTCCCAACGGCTTACCGCTTCATCGTGGTTGAGAGGTGTTCCTGGGTGACCGATCGCGATGTAAAATGGGTGGATTTATCCACCCGGCAGGGTCTCCCAAAATTAGGAGTTTGGCGCTTCCATCCGGAAGCTCAGCTAAGAGTGAACTATTAGCAAAGCCAAGATTCACCACCGTCCTGGTATCAAACTTGGTGGCAAATGTCCCTCTCATCCACAAGGGCGGCGAGTGCTTGTGGTGGTGACGACCTGGGGCAGACTTAGGCTAGCCTGACCTCGAGACTCCATGGAACCATAACGGTTAAGCCACCAAAACCCCGAAAAATGGAGATTATGCTGGGGCATGCATAACCAGTGAGGACGAGCCGTCCGAGCGTCCTAGTAAATGAATAAAACATTAATTATTAGAAGTATCGTGGCTATTCAAAATGAACAAGAATTACAACAACGCAATAAATCGCTATCTACTTGCAGGCCTCTTACATGCGCCTCTTCGGAGCCCTGGCAATTCTGGGAAGTAATATACTATTTCTCACAAGTTTATTCGGAAGAAGAGTTGAAACTCTACAGGCCATCTCCAGAGTCATATTCTACACCGCCCAAGGCCTCCTGTTCCTCGCCAATGAAAGGACATTTTGATTCACAAAGAGATAGACTTAAGAACAGTTACAAAGGAATAAAACTAGTCGCAACGTTACCAACATGTTCAAGCACCACAATTCAAGCGAGTTGACAGTAAACGTTCCTTAAGAGCGACCCTGCTTGGGTGGCGGGCTGCGACGTACAGCGGGGGGATTCATCCCCAGCAGGTTCTTCCAAGTTGAGGAGTCCGGCGTTTCCATCAGGAAACCCAGCTAAGAGTAAACCAATACCACGATCCACTATCATCCTAGTATCAAACTAGTCGCATGATGGCAAATCTACCTCTGATCTACAAGGGCGGCGACTGCTCGTAGTGGTGAAAGCCTGGGGCAGACTTTGGCTCGGCTGACATCAGGACTCCATGGAACCACAATGGCTAAGCCAGAGAAACCCCGAAAAGTATAGAAAACGCTGGGCGCCACACAACCAGGGAGGACAGGTCACCCAAGTATCCAAGTGGGTACAGAGCGACATGAGTGTTCCGAAAAACGATATGCAGTAGGTGTGCTCACAGACAACTAAGATGTGCATGATAGTGCTATTTCCTACCGTATCCATGGGACGGCTCTCTAGTCCCAACTTGTCACGGTGTTCGATTCCCGTTCACATTCTGGTGATCCGTGGACATTTTCGGAATCACTTGTGAGAATTCTTTGTGTTGGCACTTTTTGTAAACTTTCTCATAAGATAAAAGCTGAGTGGTTTTCGAGGTCCTTCCGTGTCGTTGTTGTCAGTTTTTCGTTAGTTATTTCGGCTGCGAAACTTGGTTTACCATTGCTAGTTGTCGCCAGACTTCTTATTCCAGGTGCTCCGGATAGAATGGCCGAGAATCCTGTAAGAAAAGCTGGTCCAGGGCCTGCTGGAAGGTGGGCTTCCATTGAATCACGGTTTTTTTTACATGGGCTTACACATATTACCCACTCGTCGTTTTTCTGAATAATATTGGCAAATTTATCCTTCTATTTGCTGACTACTATAATTTTTCACGGCAGGGTATAATGTGAAATACAGCCAAAACGATGCTGAGATATTCGCAGAACTTGGACCTCAGGCCAGATCGAACCACGATTACCCTTTCCAGGGGTTCGTGTGTTACACACTGCACCGTTGAGGCTACTGCTTTGCGTTTCTCTCAGCTAGTTTTTTACCCAACGCTGCCATCGGAAATAACTTGTCAGCGGGATTTCTCTGGGGAACACAAATTGGCAAGTTCATTTGTGTGGATGTCCATTTCCCGTCTCAGTCTATTCTATTCTTTCTTAGCTCTTCCGTAGTTCAATGACCACAACATTATTGTCCTTAGTAAGCATTTCAATATGTAGGAGTGTATTCCTTGCTTGTCCTTCGTCCAAGTGAAATGTTCGGTGATTAGGCTCTACGTGAAAGCTGTGTTCACTGGGTACAAGCGTGGTCTTCGCACGCAGTCCGAGCACACCGCCCTGCTAAAGCTCGACGGTGTGTACAACAAGAAGGATGCGCAGTTCTACGTTGGAAAGCGTGCAGTGTACTTATACAAGGCTCACAACAAAACCACCGTTAGTTTTTTTTTTCTTAGCAGTGCTCGTGGTTTTTTCTAGCAGTAGTCAATGCTTTTTTTAGCAGTACCCATTAAGGTTTGTTGATCGAAGGCCAGAGCATACTCATAATTTGTTCATAATTTTGCGTTGTTATAATTTGTAAAAACTTTGCTGTTGGACCCATCTATTTTGAAATCATAGGATTCTTGTGCTTGCGGCACTTAAATTACGCTACTCGCTTCTTTATTCTGTATAGGTAACGTTGAGATATTCTAAGTTACTGTCAACTTAATATGAACCGTGAAATCGAAGAGTTGGGAAAGGCAGCAGAGGGTTTGTTGTCTTCATTGCTTTACTTAACTTTTGTCCGTTTGTTTTACAAACCAAGACGCTTCCATATACACAGCTTTGTGCTTAGGTAGAGGCTACTATGTTAACCTTTTAATCTAGACATACGTAGATGTAGTACTTGAGGGTATTTGTCCCATTGATCATGGTTGAAACATTAAGAACAAATCCGTTTCCCATAAACGGTTTTCTAAGTTTTTTCAGGAAGTTTTTTTCACCGAACTTTTCGCTGTCCCGGTAATTCCTACCATTCCTAACTTCTTGATAATATTTAGTGTAGGAGGAAGATTTCATAAACAAAGCAGAATTGGCTTTAAGGATGCTGAGATATTTGCAAAACTCCGGACCACAGGTGTCTGCGGTGGGGAACGAACGTGCTATTGTCCTTTCCGAGGGATAACGTGTTCACCACCACACCATACGGGTCCTTCGTTTCGCCCATCTCAGCTAGTTCTATCGATCTCTGCGATCAGCAGTCACCCGTCGGCGGGATTGATCTGGGGAGCCCAAATCGGTAACGAACCCAGTTAAGCTGAGGCTGTAGTTATAATCACAATTTCAACTTATTATTTACTGCCTACTCTTTATAATGGCGGAGTATATTGCGAAATATAACTTTTATGATGCTGAGATATTTGCAAAAGTCCGGACCGCAGGTGTCTGCGGTGGGAAACGAAAGCGCCATTGTCCTAAGAAAGCGGAGATGGTGTGATGGCCAGTCATGCTTTGCATGTAAGGTTCATGAAAATTGTTGCAAAGTATCTTCGACATGTTATCATAGCCTTATCGTATCCCTCGGTTTTCTAGACATTGATGTTTTTCCGAACAGTTGAGTAGTTTCTGTATATCTCATAGAGCTTTTTCTTTTCGTGCTTACTGTCATCATATATGCCGTCTTTCAATGCCATGTGGTCGTGAGAGTTTTTTTATTTACAAGGAACCTTGCGTTGTAATAGGTAAAGGGTGAAAAACGAAATCATTGTATTGATGAATATTGACGATGGGTTATTCATAAAGCTAAAAAGGATAAGGGTCTCAGCACTGATCATTCTCCGCGGGATGCTTGATACATTTGACTTCATTATGGTTGAATGACCGACCGTTACATCATATCATATCTGACCGTTACATTGTTTCGGGGATCCAATGTACCGTTGTATCGCGCCAGTGCTGCTATCCTTCCAGGCACGTCTGGTGTCAATTTTCCGCCCCCGGAAGGATGGTAGACGATAAGCCGCAGGCGCGGGGATCGATCCCATGTGTGTATTGCGGAGCGCTTCTGGGCGGTGCACCACATGCGCCATTCGGGTTATTCATATGTTCATGCATGATCTTCTTGGAATCGGATGAAGTTGATTGTTCTTGTTAGTACGACTTATCAAATTTGCCTGCAGAAGTTTGTCAAGCAAACGTAGCCATAGAGTATATCGTAGAACTCGTTGGTGGGCTTCTCCATTGCGCTTTTCTATGTGCCGGCTGATCCAGTGCTCTTTACAGGCTCTTCATCTTCAGCTAGTGTTAATTCTGTACGTATGGTCTTTTCCAATGCTTTTAGGTAACCTCGCAAGATCACTTGCATGTCCGTGGTGTTCAAGTGCCTGTGCTGCGAATTTACGTTTGCTTCATTTTTTTCCGGCGATGCATCTTTTAATCGATTTCAGACTTCTTGTTTAATGTTTTCGAAAAGATATTGAATAAGCTAAGTCATTTACGCACTTCTGTCATGTAGTCGATGACACAGTCTTCCCAAATTCCGTGAAGGATTTCAGAGGTCCAGTAATCGATACTTTACCAGCCTTATTTGTCGGCATTTATGAGTTTCTTTTTGTTTCACCAGGATAATGTGGAAGATCAACTGATGATCCTATCCCATTAGAACTATGGAAGTGCAGCGACGCCTTTTATTGAAAATCTTCGATTAAAGACATTATCCCCTTTAATCCCGTTATCCCTAATCTCGTTATGGTGTTAGTTTAGAATTGTTGGAACGTTAGACATTGCATTGTTGTATTTCGACTTTTCAGTTTCAGTGCTTTTAGTGAATTCAAATCATATGCACCTTGCTTTACTCAAATATTTAGGCCATTGATCATTCACCAGTAGTTCTCCTGGTTCCTAGAGAGGTCCCATCTGTTGGGAGCTTTTTATCAATTTGACAGCAGGAAAAAACGGTGCAATCTACACACTTGTAAGCATGCCAAGTAACACATACATAACTCGAAAGACCAACTTTCTATAAACCTCGACATAGATAGTTGATATATTTATTTATGTGATCTTATAAACTGATCTTCTTAAGCTGACGCGAGGTTGGTACAGGTCTTACCAACCTCGCGTCAGCTTAAGAAGATCAGTTTATACGACCACATAAATAAATATAACACGTACATAGTACATGGATTCGTTTCTATACGGTGTAGATAGTTTGAATGCATCTTAATATCAGTGCAAATACATGTTAATTTTCAATAAACGTTCACCTCCTCTGTATTCCATCTTGGGCTCGCGATAACGTAATCCCGCGATTGGCGGGCCCGAAATATGCTATCTGAGATGTATACACGTACATAATGCAGAGTGGACGTTGTGCACCACGTGTTGTACTCCTATTTTATAACATCCCTATTTTACTACACATATTCAACCTAGTGGCATGTGGTAACTGTTAACACTTGGGACATTGGGAAAATCTGCTGGTTTGTAATGAAAAATTAGAAAGTTGTTCGATCTGAAGATTTCTATTGCTTTATGTTTAACGTTTTGTTTTCTGTCTTCTATAATTTTCATGGCAGGTTAGTAAGCGAAATACAACCACAACGTTGCTGAGATATTTGCAAAACTCTGGACCGCAGGTGTCTATGGTGGGGAACGAACGCGCTATTATCCTTTCCGGGGAGTAACGCGTTCACCACCACACCATGCGGGTCCTTTGTTTCGCACGTCTCTCAGCTATTTCTATCGATCTTTTTGCCACAGCAATCACCCGTCAGCGGGGTTGATCTGGGGAGCGCAAATCGGCATAGAACCCAATTAAGCTATGGCTGTAGTTGAAATCACAATGTTTAACGTTTTGTTTTCTGCCTTCTATAATTTTCATGGCAGGTTACTAAGCGAAATACAACCATTGCTTTAATTATTTATTTGACGTGATTTGGTTCTCTTTATAGAAGTGAGAGCACTTGCTATTTTAGAGGTCCGTACTATTCCAAAATGTGTTAGGTATATAGGTGTACTAATGTGTAGTTTTTAGAATTGTTTGTTATGAGGACACCTAGACAATGTTTGATGAGAACCTTCTAAATTTCATTCGAAATCTTTTGTTCACTTAAGCATGCTGAAAAAGGGCGCTTGTGGCGCAGTGGCCGAAGGCGCCCTGCAAGACACACGTGAAATCGATCCTCGCACCCATGGCCCACCAAGCCTTCCATCTCTCCAGGGTCGGCAAATTGGTAACATGCTTCCTTGGGAGGATAGCAGCTCTGTCTCGACGCATCGGTAGCCCACCACGAGTTATTGTAAAGGCCAGATATACATTCAACCACCTCCAACAATACTTAATGAAGTCGAATGCATGGCGCATCCTCCAGGAATTGGTCAACGCCGGGAGCTTTATCCTTTATGCTTTTTAAGCATGCTATTGTTTATTAGATTTAGGTTTACTTGGATACTTGGATGGCACGTCTTCACTGATAATGTAGGCCCCAGTATAAATTCCACTTTTTCGGAGTCTTATTGGTTTAGCCGTTGTGTTTCCTTGGAGTCCTGAGGTCAGCCTAGCCAAAGTCTATCCCAGGTCGTCACCACAATGCGCATTCGCCGCTTTTGTGGATCAGAAGATTTGTCAGTGTGTGAATAATTTGATACCGGATGGTGGCAGATCCTGGTATCGGTTTGCTCTTAACTGGGTTTCCTTGTGGAAACGTCGGACTTCTTCTCAGCCTGGGAGACCCTGCTGGAAGGATGAATCGCAGCCCGACATCCAGGAACACCGAACCACGATTTCTGTTGACCGTTGAAATTGGATTTAGGTTTAGGACATATTATTGCTTAAAGTATTGTAGGTCTACGTTTTCTTTTCATTAGTTTGTGGAAGTATTATATTCTTGTTATGTCATATATGTTAAATATAATGTGTTATATTATATTCTTATGAAACATTCATTGCAGAAACCAGGTCACAGCATTCCCACGAGAACTAGGGCAATATGGGGAAGGATAACAAGGGTACATGGGAACGCTGGAGCCGTTCGTGCAAAGTTCCATCATAATCTACCCCCTAATGCCATGGGCAATAGAATTCGTGTGGTAAGATTACTTAAGTTTAGATTTTGATTCTTATATTCGGTCTCAACTATGGTTTTTCAGATGCTGTACCCATCCAACATTTAGATTGGGAACAACTCGTTATTGTTATGTCACCCAATTGTTATTAAATGTTTGATTTCAAATTCGTTGTACATCGGTGTTTTCTGAACCCGGAAACAGGAATCATAGATAAAGTAGCGAAACGTCCTAAGCATATAAGCAGATTCGTTTCTGGTAATTTGCATATTTCTTGATATGGTGACTCCAATAGTTGCCCAGAGATCAATCTATGGTAGATGGTAGTTCCTGCGTAACATGTTCAGCATGATGGTACTGCTTACGGTCTTGATAATCCGAAGACGATTCGTTGAGTTGCTCAGTGAGCAGTTCTTTTGAAGGTCCTTCCTAAATTTCAATTAGACCTTTCAGAGTAAGTCGTAAAGTGTGAGAACGGGGTATAGCGGAAGTGTTTCTTCACCTTTGTTAGCACAAATGGTCCTCTGTTGAAAACACCAATGGTTTCGAGTGATGAAAAGGCAGTGCGAAACATATGTGGTATGGAAAATGTCGAGATACCTGAAATTTTCGAGTTATGGAATACAGTAGTCTTTCCAATGAAAGAAGTTCACCTGGTGTACAGGCGGGGCAGGCTCGGCCAATATAGTAATACAGGATTATCATGACGACAAAATGTGCGGCAGCGAACGAGAAGTGAATAAGGAAAATGATAAGAAGGTTCACCATGCACTGCAATTGTTAATATTTCATTTTGGTTTTTATTAGTCCATGCACTAAATAGTATGTTATTAAAACAAATTGTGGCTATATTGTTGGGATTCATTACCCCGGCAGGGCCTCGCGGAGGAGTCCGGCGTCTCCATCAGAAAGCCCAGCTAAGACCAAACCAATACGGCGAACCACCACCGTCTTGATATCAAACTAATCGCATGGTAGGAAATCTCCTCCTGATCCACAATGGAGGCGATTGCCTGTGGCGGTGACGACCTGAGGCAGACCTTGGCTAGGCTGACCTCGGGATTCCCAGGCTACTACGATGGGTAAACTAGCAAAACTCTGAAAAGTGGAGATTTTTCTGGGGTCCGCACAATTAGTGAGGACGGGCCACCTAAGTATCCAAACAAGTAAGTAATAGGAACGTTAATATACTCCGGTTAACACAAGAACATCAGTTGCTCATGCATAAACGAATTCCTTTCCGATAAGTTTTTTCCTGTAATTGTTAAATATACTGTAGCTTATAGTAGATTTCTTCGAAGGATCAGTGGTTTCAGTTGAATGTGTAGAATTATATGTGACAAATCAATGAATATTGACGTTGGAAATTATGAGTATGGTTGTGCGGTACAATACTTCTGATATTTCTTGCTATCATAGCATAGAGATGCTGTGTACCAGATTAGGGAGTGCGTTTCAAAAATTTTGCGAATGGTAAACTTGGTTAGTTGGAAGTAATCCTCCACGACGACTAACGGCTACACAAACTTACCCCTACAAAGGCGATATAACGATTGCTGAACATGGAGTACCAAGTGGCTGGCTGGCTAGAAATGCCGCCTGCCTCGACTGCAGTGGGGATTTGCTGTTGGCGTTCTGGGAAGAGCTCGTCCAAGTCGCCAAGTTTATGCATTGATCCATATGTTGACGCGTTTTCTCTAAAATAGAGGGGTTATTTTGTTTGAGTAGTAAAGTTTTCTCGCATAGTTGTTCTTCATGCCGAGATCTACATTGATTTCAGCCGATACCGAATGACGATCAGCCGACCATGTGTAGAACTATTCAATTCTCGACAGATGACGTGTTGTAAAATAAGGAAGGGTAAAATGGTAATCTTCTCAACGGTTTGCCGCCTCATCGTGACTGCGAGGTGTTCCTGGATGTCGGGCTACGATGTACAGGAAGAGGGAGGATTCAGCCCCTTGGCAGGGTCTCGAAGGAGTCCGGTGTTTCCATAGGGAAAGCTAGCTAAGAATAACCAATACCAGGATCCACCACCGTCGTGATATCAAATTAGTTGCATGGTGGCAAATCTCTGATCCACAACGGCGGCTACCGTTTGTGGTGATGATGGTCTGAACAGACTTTAGCCACGCTGATCTCGGGACTCCAGGGAAACACAATAGCTATACCAGCTAAAATTCTAAAAATAAAGAATATACTGGGATCCGCACACCCAGCAAGGACGAGTCGTTCAATTATCAAGTACCAAGTAAGTAAAATGGCAGTTGTACGTTGCCGCGGGCAAGTTTTTCTTGGTCATAGATCAACGACTGCTTACTACTTGTGAGCATCTTGGAAGACTTCGTGCGTTTACAGTAAGTAGGTTATCGATGAGAATGAGGCATCGATAAAGTCAGCGATAGTAGAAGAGTGTTTATAAAATTGGAAAAACACTATAAACGTACGTTGCATGACTTATGTTTGCTAGGTCGTATGTCATCGCCAGTGATACGTATGCGTAGTTGACGAACGCATAGGTGATGAGGAACGGCATCGTGGAGAGTATGGCCAGCTGGTTGAGGTCGCCGAGGAGCACGAACACCGACGCCACGCCCATCAGCACCACGCCCGCCATCACCGGATTCTTGTTCGGACCGGACTGTAGAGGAAATATTCAGAGAATGTATACAGACGATTGTAACCATAGAGGCTTAAGACCTCATGTACAGCAATGATATAACTAATCATAGCGTTAAGCTCTGAAAGCGAACGTTTCTCGAAAAATCACCCTTGATTTTTTCCAAAAATGAGGCATTATCCCGTTCCGTTGTTTAAATGAACTTCAACGCTACTGAAGTAAAACACACTTTGTGTGGATGACTGCGCCCCTGTGTCATCGAAAACCTTAGAATTACTGTTCAATAATGCTATAAATCAACATGAGATTGAGATGGGTGATTGCTGAAGACACAGGTCGATAGAAGAGGTTGAAAAAGGCGAAGCAGAGGATACGCATGGTGTTGTGGTGAACGCGTTAGCCCCTTGAAAGGGTAATAGTGCGTTCGTTCCCTACCGCAGACACCTGCGGTTCGAAGTTTTGCAAATATCTCAGCATCATTGTGGTTAACAAGAGATTAATGAAGATCTTTAAAGAAAGGAAGATAGAATTCTTGAGATATCTACCTCTTTTTCTGGAATCATGTTTGAATATGTTGTTGGATTAATTTTTAAATTTTCGTATTGTCTAATTGTAACGTACTCCGTGCGCTAGAGGATTGAGTATCGGTATGATGCCTTCGGCTGCAATTCCCTGCAGTACACGCGGAGTGCCGAGCAGCGAGCCGATCGTCGACGACAGCGAGCAGATGTACAGTCCGACCATGAACAGCACTCTAGTCAAAGCCACCTTAACACCGCACTTTACGCTTCTAGCAGTCACTGAAAACACTAGGCAGTCATCACTTTAGTTCGAACTCTTTAAATTTTTTAAATTCCGAAATAAGTGTTTAAAATGTCTTCTTTCCTTCAGTCGTTTGCGGCTGATCTAATCAGCAACCGCCGACATCGGCGAAGAAACCCAATTATAAACCTATAGACTCCTTCGAAATTGAGAAGACAGCGCCGTAAAAAGGCCATTTCACAGTTCGAAACAAAATACCAATTGGATGGAAAGTATGCTGGCTTTGTATTCTTCGTTTAAGAGTGCGTTTTAATTACTTACTAACTTGGATGGTCTGTTTTCACTGGCTGTGCGATCTTAGCATAATTTCCATTCTCGGCAGATTTGCTGGTTTACCTATTGCGGTCCACTGGAATGCGGAGGTCGGCCCAGCCAAAGCCTTTCTCAGGTCGTCACCACCCCATGCAGTAGCCGACCTTATGGATCAGAGGGAGATTTGCCACCATTGGACTAGTTCGATACAAGGGCGGTCGTGATTCCTGGTATTGCTATTGGTCTACTCTTATATATAGGCTTCCACATGGAAACGCTGAACACCTCAGCTTGGGAAGTTCTGCTGCTGGAATGGAGTCCAACTCAACATCGCAGTCCGACACCCAGGAACATTAAATATACAACCGATTGTTAGAGCTGATTTCCATGATCTTTGGCTTTCTTAAAAAGGTTTTACCTTCTCCGAAATCAAATTATCGCAAATGAGGCTCAGCCTATCACCCGTCGCGCCGAGAATCATGATGAACAGAAAACAGATAGATGAGCTGAAATCTGACCATAAAAGAACGGCAATTATTCACATGGACTACGAAGTACGGTCAGAACTACAGACATTAAATCTTCTTCAGCTCCTAGTTCTTTTCCTGGGAAAAAAGTCGCGCCTTATTTCATTGAAATGCGCCTAGATTTCTTAAAACTTTGAATATTTCTCTTCGCAAAATTCATGCTCAAACTGTTCACCTGACGCCAACTGCTGACAGCTCGCCAAGCGGAATGCTCTTGTGAGGATCCTTCAAGTCACCGCTCATGTTCACACCTCAACGGAAACATCACTAAGGTTATTGGAAAGCTCTAGCAAAAGTCCTTAAAGTTTAATTTCACAACCGACTTTGTACCTCGGCATTGATCAGTATTTTTGTTTTTTTTTTTAATGAGCGGATGCGATGTCGTTAAAATAAGTGAAAATAATGATTATTCAATAGTTGGTAACGTATCGGCGGTTTCGCCTTCTTCAGAGTTTGGAAAGGTCAAATTGACAAGCAAAGGAACCGCCGAAGGGTTAGCAACTGTCAAATTAGCATTATTTAAACAACCTCCCATCTACCCATCAAGAAAAAAAGGAGATTCTTGTTAAAATAAATCATGACTTCATTGGATCTGAGCCACACGGATTTCATGAAAGTTGACAAAGTTTCACGACATGCGAGTTTCAAGTCAATCGAGGAAGTCAACTCAAGACCCACACTTGTAGATTGGTCAGTTCGTCATGTCTTTCTTGTAATCGTGTGATTTCTCCACCTTACTGATTGAAACATCGAGTTACGTCAATAAGGTTAGATTGATAAAATGAGAGGGAGAACTGTGGCTCAAAAGTAGAGTATTTAAAATTCTCGTTCGTTAACATTCGTCGCTATCGTTGAGAATCGAACTTGCTCACCTGAGGTACAGCATGGATGGGTGAACGAACGATCGCAAGATATGTGAAACATAACCACAATGATGCTGAGATATCTGCAAAACGTGGACCCAGGCCAGATCGAACCGCGATTACAACATGAGAAGGCTCACGTGCTACGTGCTACGCACTGCACCATTGAGGCTCTCGTTCTGCCTTTCTCTCAGCTAGCCTTTTAAACCCTAACGGTGCCACCAGGAATCACCTGTCAACGGGATTGATCTAGGGAGCACAAACCGGCACCAACCCAGTTAATTCGCGTTGACGGGTGATTGCTGACAACACCATTTGGGTAGGAATGGATGGGAGAAAGACAGAACGAGAGGCTCAGTGATGGCATGCGTAACACGTGAGGCCGCGGGAAGAGTAATCGCGGTTTGTCCTGGTCTGGGCTTCATGTTTTGCAAAGTTCTCAGCATCATTATGGTTGTACTTCACATAATACCGCGCCGTGAGAAAATTTAATGGGCAGTGGATAGAAGCTATACATTATGATTGCAAGACAGATGATGTGAAAATGAAAGATGCAGCATATTGATTCCTTTCGCTTACGAAAGAAGCCTTAGAAATTGACGAAGTTGCTCACGTTCTCTTTCACTTATCCTTCATCCTCATTCTTTGCCGTGCTTTGTAGAAAAAAAGAACAACGAGGAGGTAAACCCTTACCTGCTAGCACACCGAGGAAATTGGCGAAGAACACGCCGAAGACGGTGAAGAAGGACTGCTCGGGAATGAAGCGGTCGAACCCGATCGGAGTGCAGTTCACAGCAGCGTACATCGGGCCGGCATTCTCACGAAGACGAGCGTACGAGAAGCGTAACACGCCGCTGCCTGTCAGCAAAGTATAAACTCGCTGATCAACACCACGCCTCTTGTATGATCGCTTACTTTGCCTTACAGTACACTCTAATTTCTTTTTGATTATTTTCATTCACTAACTTTGCATCAATGAGCCAATATGGCAATAAATTCACTAGAAGCGCTCGCGATTTTTAGAGATTTCCCGAATACTGGGAGATATTTCCATCACGAGATATTTGCAAAACTCCGGACCGCATGTGTCTGCGATGCGGGACGAACGCGCTCTGTTACCCTTTCCAGGGCTAACGCGTTCAACACCAAAAGCTACTAATCCTCCCACAACGTTCTTATTTTTATCAGTGTCACTTCAATGCAACAATGAAAAGATTAATGGAAGTGTGACTGAGGATTTTTTTAAGTTCTCACAGTCGTTTGTTCAGTAAGAGGTTTTTTTTTTCAAAACAGTTCTAGAATCAGTAAGACTTTAGCTTTCATAAAAACTGTATGAAATTCGACTATCACAACTGCAGAGGACTCTAAAACATTTTTTCTCCATTTTTTCTAAAATATTTCGATATTTTACTTGGATCTGAAGTAAACAGAGCTCCCAGAAGGAAGTCTAGAACGGCCAAGGCAAGAAATGTAAGTAGAAGCAGCTGTAGTCGAACAATCCATGACACGCCCGCTGTATTGATTCCTGAAAAGGAAGAGGTCGAGCAGACCGGAATAAGTTTGTTAATACTAATTCCTTTATCATCTTGGTGCCATGACCTTGGTCAGTTGTAGAACGATTTATGCGCTAGCACAGCTTCAAGAGGTACAAAAGTCTGATCCAAATTTTTCATTATTCACAATGTTCGTTTGACTGAATGATATGAAAAGGAAAAGAAGAACCTCGGCATACCAGTAAGGACGACGAGAGTGAGGATAGCGATCACTTTGATGAAAATGCGGCTTTCTGAGTCGAACAGATGCGCTAGGGACTCGGCAAAGCCGACTGCGACCAGACCGGTGGCCACCGCCTAAGCACAAATAGTATGGGGGTTGAAAATCGGTTCGATTAGCTGTTTACTGAAGTGTGAAACGTATAGTGACATTGAACTGAATTCCGAAATTAGCACATGTCACTTCACTGGCGCATATTAGGGGCTCAAACAGTAATAAGAGCGATAACTTTTGACTATCGAAAAATTGTTTGACTCCAAAGGTCTCATTGATTTGGCGCCTCCAGGCACTTAAGGCGTCGCTAGTAAAGAAACCTTTATGATTGTGTTTCACTTCTGCTGGGGCTCTCTGCTTCTTGAAATACGCGTGCGAACTTGCCTCATTGATGCTGAGACGATGTGAAGTGGCGTTCTTTTAGTCCTAGATGAGTTATCGCTGTAGACGATCGGTCAGCCGAAAACGCTCCGAAGAAAACAAAGGCACGAGAGCCAAGTCGCCATCCAGTCTATCGACGTTCATCGTCGCATTTGGTGCACTTCCTCTCTCCCTCCGTCTTCTTCGTTACCATTTCGAGTAATTTTTCCACCTATTATTGTTGCTTATTTCTGTTTTCACCAACAAGTCATTCCAGCGAGCTATTTTCTATCTGGTATACCAAGACTCAGTCTATGTTTGATAATGTAAAAGTCAGAGTTCTACTCCGTTCAAATCGTAAAATCAGCGTGGAAGCTTGGGCTTTGCGTAATTACACTATTTCTACGAGATCAAGAGCTCACCACTGTAGCTTAGAGAACATACACCAGCTTTTTCCTCTTTTTCTAACTTATCGTTGCCTTCTTCCTGCTATGCCTGTATACTAATTTACATAATTTCTAGTTTCTTTTTCTAAATCTTTAAATTCCTAGTCATGTTAATGACCATTCGCTCTGACCATTCGGCCTTGATCAGTACCTGTGACATTTGCCATACCCTTGACTTTATTCGTATCATTGTAGAGTTAACTGAAGGTGTGTTTGGTTAATATGAGGCAATGTTCTTATCCTCCTAGACACCAATTTGCTACCTCGGAAAAGTGGAAGCTTTAGTTAACCCCGGGCGTGGAATCGAACCAGCGATCGATCCAGTGCGCATTGCAGAGCACTTCTAACCACTGCTCTACACGTCCCCACTTTAATGTGTTACAGTTGCCAATCCAATATTGTTAAAATGGAATAAGGCGCTTGTTTCGCAGTTTTCTAGACAGATACCCTTCAAATTGAGCTGATCGACAACAGCGAAAGTGAACCCACCTGTCCAAGAGTGTAAATCAGTCCAACGGCCCCGCCCACACGACCGCCTAGCACATGCGACACAAGGGAGTAAATTCCTCCACTCTGAGACAAATAGACCACGAATTTAAGAGTTTCAGTTTCCAGGCAAGGTTAAAACTAGGAACAATAAATATCCGTACTACGTACTAATATCAGTAATATCGGTAATATATGAAATGTTGTGACGGAAGCCTTAAATTCTACGTGTCAGTGACAACTCGTACGCGGACGATGCATGATAGAAATTCAGTCCCAGTTTCACTGAGAATTCACATCTACTGAATTCCCTTTATTCCAAAGAATATGAATATGAAATGAATATGAAGGTCGTAGTATGAAAAAACCATATTACGGAGAAGTTTGTACGGATACATCACTAGGAGAAACAAAATTGAAGTGATGTAATGTTTCATTAATTACGCTTAGGAATTAGTTAAAGTCATTAATGTATTTTATATACTACTTTTTATAATGCTTCCAATGTATTTTATATTTTTTCATTCAGTTTCGTGATATATTGGAGTTTTAATAAGTAATAAAAATGAGTTGAAACTACTATTACCTGAATTTGACAGCGTTCAACGATTCCGATGGCCGAGAACACCGTGATCAGTGCCAATGTAGTACAGAACCCAAGAAGGAGAATCGCATTTACAGCACCGGCTGTGCCCTTCATGAAAGATAATAAGTACCAGTTACTTGGCCAGTTCTGTTCTTTTTTCTTTCATAACGTTAGAGCCCTGGAGTGGAGGCACCAGAACTTCAATTCATGATCGCTACGGTTAGGGTGGTTAGGGTCATAGTTCTAAAAGAGGAAATAAGACGGCGAAAAGCTAAAAATACATCGTTCTGTACTATCCGCTGTTTCGTCCTAAACTGATTAGACATGAACTCATACGAGTCGAAAGTGTCAAATCAAATTTGTGAGAAAATCGCAATGGACATTCATCGAGAGACCCTTTTTCAACATTCCCGAATCGATTGGTGTCTATTGGAGATGTTCGCCACGGTAAACGGCAACTGTGACAAATGGGATGAAATCTGACTACTATTCGTAGGCCTTATTTTTAAGGTAACTAGGGTAAAGCGATAGACAAAATGAATAATGTTAATGTTTTATTTGCTGCCTACCACAATTTTTCACAGAAGGGTATGATGTGAAATACAACCACAGCGATGCTGAGATATTCGCAAAACGTGGACCCCGGGCCAAATAGAACCACGATTTCCCTTTCCGGGAAGAAAATGAATAATCATTAACTGTATTCTTATTTTCTAATTTCTTGTTATACACCTTCGTAAGAATTCGTCACCTGGATGGTAAGTTAGTGAACAAATGGCGGAAAGATCAGGATGTGAAGGGATATATTCAATGAAAGAGCGTCCAAGATTCCAAAAGTAAGATTCGGCCAATTGAATTGGCAGCTCATTTCTGTTCCTCGTATTGTCTTCGGCAATCATGTTTTGTTGGTGTAGCCTCAATATTGTTTATTTATGGATTTATGGCTAACTCAAGTGTATGTGGCGCAGTGGTTGAAGGCGCCATTGCGACACACACGTGGAATCGATCCCTGCGGCCATGGCCCACCAAGCCTTCCATCCCTAAGTGGTCTGCAAATTGGTAACAGACTTGTCCTGGGAGAGTAGCAGCATTGGCTCGATACACACCGTGAGTCATTGTAAAGACCAGATATACATTCAATCTCCTCCAACGATACTTAATGAAGTCGAATGCATGGCGCATCCCTCAGGGATTGATCAACGCCGAGAGCTTTACCCCTTTTTTATTTTATGAGTAACTTTACAACCAAGAAATTTTTCTCGTTTGCTTGGCAAACTGGTGAAGATCTTTTTTTTAAAAGGTGCATCAAATACCAATACAGTTGATTTGGAATAGACAGCTTTTCATGCAATTAGTTCGCGTACTAACCACAATCCATCCCATTCGTAGGAAGACGATGATACCAAAGATGTTCACCATGACCGTCGTGAAAACGCCATCCCACGTGCCGAACAACACCGGCTTAGTTAACAAGAGGTTCCTGAACGATTTCTGATTTCTGTTACTTTGATTGAGACGAAAGAGCTAAGGACAACCTAATCTGTCTGCTCAGTGCTTCAAAACCACTCTTAACCAACGGTATGAATTATTATCGTGACGCTTCCATAACGAGCTCTCATTGTTCGGGTTTCGTCAACAACTCGTACTATTAATCTTTTCTTTGTCATGGCAATTATCGCTAATAACATCCTCTTGTCAGCAGAAATAGTCGGGAAGATGATGGCCTTCCTCTTCCTTGTTTCACAATTGCTTTCCTATATTTATCCAATCATTAAAACTACGATATTTAATCATTATAACTTAGCTATCTACACCACCCGGCCTTCTGTAGAACGTCCAGTGGAGTAAATAAAGTCATTAATTTCAGCCCTCTGTTGCGCGGAAAAGTTATCCACTGTGCTCTAGTCATCCAAAGAACACGAAAAATATCGTATATTTCATTTAATCCTCATGAAAACCTCTGACCATCAGGTCAGTGATTTTACTACTATGAACTTGATATCCCGTAGTACTCACATGTTAACAGTTTTCGTTTCCCGATTTTCGTTGTGGTGCATCACTTAGCTAAATCACCTGAGCTCTAAAATTTTCGCGTACGCAGTGGTATTTCTGGTTGTGAGTGATCGACATAGGTCTGAACACCTAAGCCACAGTGTGGTGCATTGTAGTCCTAGCCTCGTCCTTTCGACTGCGCGTTCGATAACGCTGGGTAACTTTTATTCAGTTTCCCGAGGTATGCTTTAAGATGGAAATGATCTTGGGGATACAAGAGACGAGATGGAACTAGATGCTCTTTGTCCTCTTTACTGTACTGCCTTCAACCACTCTCTCCCAACCATTCTGAAACACGTTTATCAAATTAACTTGTCTACAAAATTATGCAGATGCGTATAGCTGGACCATTCGGAGATTTTCACACCATTAAGCGTGAATGGGGCAGTGAATATGAATATATGATAACCAGTCCAGAATCTTCAATAATTGGGCAGGTTATGAACTGAACCGAAAATAAGTGATGAAATCGAGACCATCATCTCAAATGCGTTGCGATTAGGGGAAACTTCCGCATTTGGTAACTCGATTCATGAAGAGTCAAATGACATCGAATAGATAAGAATTAGTGGAAATAAAATTACTGTAAGTTGTAAGCATTGTGCTTCAAATAAGGTGACAGTTCATCATTGTGAAATGAGAGACATAGGGCAGTTTTTTCCAGTTGAAGAAACACTTCAAAACCCATCACCCTTTTAATAGTTCCCAGGATCGACTTTCTATTAACCTCGGCATTGGAATATGAATGTGTCGTTTTCTTGTTCAGCAATCGCGAGGTTTTTAAACAGCATACATTTACTTCCATAAAAAACACAATGTTGGAATATGAATGTGTCGTTTTCTTGTTCAGCAATCGCGAGGTTTTTAAACAGCATACATTTACTTCCATAGAAAAACACAGTACAATACATACATTTTTGTGCTTTGTATTTGGAGGATCGCCTTTGGAGGAGGATAGTTGGTGGGTCAATATTGATATGCGATTTTACTAGATCTGATGCCAAAATAACCTTACAACGAAAATTCGAAAATCTTTTGGGTAATGCACATGTCTCAGCTTCAAGAAACAACCGCAAACGAATTCCTTACGGTTCTGATAATAGTCAAAATATGTTTGATAGTGCACCCAGAAAATCTAGGGTCACCGTGATTGGGGGCATAACAATACCTGAGAATGCGCGCTCGCTATTAGAATTGGGCCCAAGTTTTGCACCATCACAGCCCATTTCTAAAACGACCCTGCGTAGGATAGCATGCAACCTTTACGAGCTTCAAGATCGACTCCGCTATCAGGCCAACCAAGAAACATCAAATAGAGATAAAAATCAAGAGGCGGCGACACTACCACCATCTCCTTTCCCAAAAACGTTCTTTAGACAGCAGGACCCTAGCGATGGAGTTGACATGAAATTCCGCTTGTTTTCGGACGGCGTTCTCAAGACCCTTGATCACTGCCGCGATATAAAGTTTATCTCTAACCTTACAGCCGCACAAAAATGTGGCATGCGGGAAATTAGAGAATTAATAAACTCGAAAACAATAAGATTGTCTGTTAGTGATAAGGGGGAGAGTTCGTAGTTAACCCTCGCTAGCTGGATGTTGAGATAACAGAGGAACATCTTAGTGATGCTACTCTCTATCGCCCATCCTCTGAAAAGGAATATAAAAGTCAATACCGAAAACTAAACAATCAATGGGTCAGCGTGGCAAAGGCTGCGGGTTTAAAATCATCGGTTATTTCGCACTTTAAAATCGATAGACCAACATGTCTCGTCCTATACCTACTTATTAAAACACATAAGTTGATATCACCTGATGATCATGCGTCAACCAATCCGTCATCATTTAAGGTTAGACCAATCATCAGCTGTGTAGACGGGCCAACG